CAGCAGTAGGAAAGGAGACCCCAGGGCAGGCACTTCTTGGAGACTTTGGTTTGAAGGAAAGCAGAAGAAGAGGAGTCTGAAATGGAGAAGAGGAAAGGCAGTCGGAAAAGAGAGAGCAAACCTACAACTATGGGGCTTGGCAGCCACTGGAGTCTCCGGTACCAGTCATTTGATGCCGAGAGTTTACGTATCAGACAGACTAACTGACCCCTGGATTTCGCAATAAGGAAGTTCTTAGTGTCCTCAGTGAGAAGTTTCAGCGGACAGCAATGAGGGGAGCCAGATGTTAAAGGGTTGAGGTGAGGGAGAGGAGTCACGTCAAAATGGCTGGCTGTGATAGGGAAGAGAGAGCTTGGCTGCAGTTGAGAAGACATGCAGACACCAAAGGGATTTGGTTTCATTTTGTCTTTAAAAAGGAGCTTGTAAATGTTGTTGAGAAGGAGCTAGGACAAAGGGAGAGGCTAAACATGGAGGATCTTTGAGAGAGCACAGTTCCTGAGCACATGGAAGGAACGAAGTGGAAGGAGTAGACAGGAGGAGGGGCCTCTTCTCTTGTAAAAGGAGGGAAAGAGAGTGCAGATGCGGGAAGGTTTGTAGGGCTGGTGGCAGGAGGTTGAGGGACTTCCTCTTTGTGGTTTCCATTTTCTTTGTGAAAGAGCAGGAAAGGTCTTCTGTTGAAAATGAGGTGGTAGGTGGATGTTTCAGGAAAATGAAGAAAGTTTTCAATATTGGTTCTGTTGTTCAGAAGTGAGGCTTGACTATAGAAGCCAAAATGACTTCCAGACAGAGTCAGGGACCCAGTTAAGTCTGAGATCATAAACTGGTAGTGGTATGAATCTGTGGGTAATTTTCATAGCTCTCCTTACCAACCCATGTACAAGTGTAGAGGAAAAAGGCAGTTGAGGTCATCGGGGTTGGGTTTTGCCCGGCAGGGGGTACGGAAGGACAGTGTGTGAAGGAATTCAGAATATATGCAAGGAAATGGCTGAAATGATGGATGGTAGAGTCTAAAATAGGTAGAACACCAAGAAGTAAACACAAGAGGGAAGCAAAGTCAAAGGGTCAAAAAGAAACAAAAGCTCTTGATGAGGTTGAAGGATATTCATTTTGGGTGGGAGTGAATGAGGAAGAGAGAGGAGCAGGAGGTGGTGGTCAGAGGGTGGATATCTGAGATGGAGATTTTAGAGGCAGTACACTCCTGATAGATGGCAGATTTCAGAGGGTGGTTATGGGAGAGGGTGGCTGAAGTGGAGGGAAGTGAAGATCTCTGGATGAGAAGGCAAAGGAAGATTGAGACGGGGTTCTGGACCCACTGAAGTCATCCAGAATAAAGGCCCTCCTCTAGTTGCAAAAGCGTTTAATGAATTTACATAGAATTTGTTTGAACCCTGACTCTCCAATTACCAGCTGTATGACCTTGAGCAACCTATTTAACCCCTCTTAGTCTCAGTTTCCTCATCTGAAAAACGGAAAAGAGGTACTAAAACCTACCTTCGGTGGTGGTAGGACAAAGCAGACACAATGTTCATAGCACAGTTCTTGACACATGGTAGCTGTACAACACATGAATTTTGTCTCTCTTTGTAAATATAGTACAAAGAATTGGGAAAAATGTTCTAGCTATGGTCTAACCAGTCAAGAGTGAAGGGGGACCTTGACTTCCTATATTTTGGAGATAATGTGTTTATGGTGCAACCTCAGACTGATTGTGCTACCCTTTTAAAGACTTGCCTCACGTTGTTGACTCACATAGACATGTGCAATTGACTCTAACCACCAGAGCATTTCCATATAAACTGCAGCAATTGGGTCAGTGTAGCTCATAAAAAATATCAGGCCAACTCTACGTAAGTTGAGAAGTCTCATGAGAGGAAGGGTTGTTGTATTAGTTTGCTTAGGCTGCCATTACAAAGTGCCACAGACTGGGTGGCTTCAACAACAGACATTAATTATCTCACAGTTCTGGAGGCTGGAAGTCCCAGATCAAAGTTTCAGCACGGTTGGTTTCATTCTGAAGCCTCTCTCCTTGGTTTGCATGGGCCATCTTTTCCTTTGTCTTCGCGTGGTCTTCCCTCTGTGTGTTGTCTGCGTCCTAATCTCTTCTTATAAGGACAACAATCACACTGGATCAGGGCTCGCCCTCATCACTTCCTTTTAACTTAATTGCCTCTTTAAAGACCCCACCTCCAAATAGAGTCAAATTCTGAGGTATGGGGGGCTATAACGTCAACCTGCGAAGGTGGGGAGGGAAACAGGTCAGCCCATATCAGTTGTAAATGGGAATTCTATTTTTAAAACACTGCAAATTGGTCAAGGCTTCTGGTCACATCTTAAGACACATTAGAAACACACGAAAGTAAAAAACATTGAGAAACAATATAAATTAAGTTTCAGTAACATATGATAATATAATATTCATACCAAAAGGGAAAAACTCTGAAGAATTATTCACTGAGGGAAGACATAAATAATGCATCCTGCTCTCTAAAGACAAACTGTATAAACGGTTGAGTCTAAGAAAAAAAACAGAAAAAACAAAAAATATTTGCCATGAATAAGTGGTCTTTTTCTACATTTAAGGGCTGGGCTGGTGTTTGGACATATGTTTCTTCTTAGAAACACGGGCATAAATGTTTCTTTGGAGTTTCAGTTATGGAAGAAGCTCTGCGAAAGAGCTGCACTGACGGTGCTGCTGCCCTGCACATAGGGCCTTGGAACTACTGTTGGAGACGCAGGGCACATTGCACTAACTCATCTGAATTCTCTCACCCAGTCCTTATTTAGAGGAAGTCACACAATTTCAAGATGGCCGTGTAGGTAGGGGAAGGAAACCAACATTTTCTGAACATCAACTACCGGCAGAGTCTGTGATAGGTGGTCTGCATTCATTAATTTCATACCGTCCTCACCTCAAGATCAAGAAGGATCTCTTCTCATCCCCGTTTTACAGATGAGTATGTTGACGATTAGAAAAACCAAGTACCCCACGTAAAGTCTCATGGTGGTAGTAACAGAGGTAGGATTCAAATTTAGGTTGGTCTAAAAACAAAGCATTAGTATGTTTGATTATACCAAGCAAATGGGTCTAGACCAGTATTGTCCAATACAGTAGTCACTAGTCACATGTGGCTTTTTAGATTAAATTAATTAAATTTAAATAAAATTTTAGTTTCTCAGTTGCACTAGCCATATTTCAAGTCATGTGGCTAGTGGCTTCTGTATTAGACTATGCAGATGTAGAAACTTCTATTATCACTGAAATTTCTGTTGGACAGCGCTGGTCTAGAACTAACAGGCCCTGACATCATTTAATTGAAGAAGAGCTTCTGTGACTCTTTCATTGACAAGATGTTTTACAGCAATTAATAAAACCAGCAACTAATAAAAATGTAGATTGACAGGTACAAATTTGATCACCATGCTTTTAAAATCTTTTTAAAAATTATGAAAGTTGCATACCTAGAGGTGCATATAACATAAACGTATAATTTAACTAATAATTTTAAAGTGAATTTCCATATAAGCACCACCCAGGTTAAGAAACAAAACATTGCCATTCCTCTGGTATCTCCCCGTGGTAAATCCTTTGCTAATCATACGCCAACTCCCTTCCCTCCAGAGGTAACTATTAGTCTAACTTTATGTAATTATCACTTTCTTTATCATTTTACCACCTATGGGTTCATCGCTAAGTCATAGAAGTTAATTTTGCCTTTTAAAAACTTTATATATATTAAATCATGAAGTAGGTATTATTTTTTCATCTTGCTTCTTATGTTCAAAATAATGTTAATATGATTCACCCACGTTATGGATATCACTATAGTTCACTCACTTTCTTAGCCGTATATAGAATATTCCCACTGTATAATGACGCCACACTTTATTTTTCTCTTTTACTGATGACGGCCATTTGAGTTGTGTCCAGTGTTCGCCTGTTACAAACATTGTCCTTCTCTGAAAAAAAGAAGCAGGGTTTTCCCTCTGGCAAGGTGAGACTTGGGTTAGCAGCAGTTTACAAACGTTTCTACCACAATAAGAATACATCTTATATTGTGACCCAGTACATTCGTAAATGTATAGAACCGAAAATTCCCCCAAAGAATAACTGACGATATATGCAATGTACTCTATTTTCCCTTGTATTCAATTCTAGTCTATTTCCTTTAAAAAAAAATTCTCGTGTGACTCACTAAGTGATTGTGGATCCCTCAATGGTTTGCAACCCACATGTGGAAGAATTCTGGGAAGTAAGTTACAAAAGCGATGGGAGGGAACACTAGGCTAGGAGGGCCCTTCCAGAACGAGCCTTCCAGAGTTTCCAGGACTACCCATTCTTCAGGCTGACAAAATCAACCATGCAGTGAACCAAAACGATCACAACAATCTGCTCCTTCCTCCCTTCTCCATGAGAACTGGGATGACAGTGCAGCACACAGGAAGCAGCAGGAACGTGGAGCCCGTCCACAGTGCACTCAGAGGGAGTCTAGGCCAGTCTTTGTAGAAAGCCCCAGTCCCAGGCAAGGTTTGTCACCATGTCTCACCCCGGCTATGGCTACGGAAGAGCTGACCCCTCCCCTCAACTCCACAGCCGCTGAGCGGAGCATTTCATCTCTTTATGGGCCCTTCAGGGGCTGGCCCCTCCCCAGGGGGTGGAGGAATGTTCTCCAACCTCAGCTCCGAATCAGAGCACGTGGCTCCTCATAAGCCTGCCCCGGTGTTTGCCCCACTTTCCCAAGTTCACCGGGCTTCCTTCAGCGCTGCAGTGAGTGTCACCTCCCTCCCCGTGTGCCGGACTAGCGTTTTCAGTGGGTTGACTTGCCTATCTGGATTTGTGAGGGCTCTTTCCCAGCTTGCTAGGGGTAGAGCACCACAGCCTTTCCAGAGCGGCAGGTCAAGCTGCCAACTCTGATTGTTGTGCAGAGCTGTGAGCTGCGGGTGGGGAGGGGCAGGCGTCTGGGAATCATGGGTGTGGGGTGGGCACGGGGGTGATGGCCTTGTTCTGCTTTCAGCTGCTGAGGCAGGAGCATGTGATGTCCTGCATGACCTCAAGGCAGTGGGAGGTTGGAGCAAGGGTTTGAAAGTCAGGGGGCCCGGACTCAACCCCGGCTCTTCCGCTTCCTGGCTGCATGACCTGGACCCACTGTTTAACCTCAGCCGGGGTTTCCACATGAGTCACTGCCACTCTTCAGCCCTGCTCTGAAGGTGAAATGAGATGAGGCATGTCCGTCACCTAAGGCCTTGCGCACAGAGGGGCTCCTTGGTGACAGCTGCTGTTGTTCATGCTTTGCTGTTGTTCTTGCTCCTTTTGGGGAGAGGAAAGGCGGGGGAGGCAGCTAAATGCAGGATGGGCGGCCTGGGACTGCACACACACGACGCTCGAGCCCAGAACCTTGCCCTACCTGGGACGGCAAACACGCGTTTGACTTGCTGGCCCGTTGGGTACTAGAAACTGCCTGGAGAGCTGTGCTGAGAAGGACTGTGAAGCCGCGGCAAGCGTCTGGGTGGCAACCGAACGTCCTGCTTGGTCATCTTGGGAGCCGTGGGCTCGGAGTTAGACCAGTCGAGCATTTGCCTTTCCTGCCTCTTTAGTGATTTAATACTTCGCGATTTAATCCTGACTTTTCCAGGATTTTCAAGGTGGCTCTTTTATAAAGCATGATTTCTAGTCGGCACCTTGCCGGTGGTCTGTTAGCCTCAACCACGGTGACATCTACAAGGCCACGGCCCACAGGCGCCCATTTGAGGAGGGGGTTAGATGTATAACGGCGGTGGGGAAAGCAGGCGAGGGGCAAAGAAGCAGCAGGAAAGAAACAGACAGTCACAGGCTAAGGAAGGTGAGCCGGAGGGAGAAAATGAGAACGTGCGCACTTCTCAGCTGCCGGAGCTCCTGCTGGGCCCGCGCAAGGAACCGCCGAGACGCTGGACCCGGCTGAGCAAACACCGCCACCTGGTGGCCAAGGAGAGTGTGGCTGTCGAGGGGTCAGTTTGGAAATCACGTATTTGAAAAACGAGGAAACAGGTGAATGGGTAGAAAATTTAAAATGTTTGAAATGCCTTTTGCCACCTGCGTGTAAATGTGTGCTTGGGGTATAGAAATCAGAGGGTCGCAGAAGTGAGTGGGAAAGGTAAATGAGGGGCAGACACCCAGTGCTTACAGCTGACATTTATTGAATGTTTACGACGTGCCAGGCGCTAGTCTCACTGTTGAATGTGTCTTAGCTCATTTACTCCTCACATCAACCTTACCAGATAGCACAATTAGATCTGCATTTTCCACTTGTGGAAACTGAGGCACAGAGGCGTGATTGCGCCCAGCCCAAAGTCACTCAGCAAGGAACGGGCGGTGCTAAAATTTCACCCCAGGCAGTTTAGCAGAGAGCGCAGGGCATGGCTTTGAAATAGAAGGAAGCCCGAGAGTGAATGTAAGCTTCAGAGATTTGAAGAGTAAGAAGCAGGGAAAGGGGCTGAAGGAATAATGAAGACAGAGAGAAGCTATCTTTTCCCCAGTGAAACGCTCCACAAATGTTTACTGAGCCGCTACTCTGGGCCCCACACCGGGCTGGGCCCTGTGGGATCCGCGAGTCTGAGCTGGGATCAGGAGCTCACAGTCGAGTTGAGGACATAAAACACACATGTAGGACACAATCAGAAGGCGACATCCCATTGCATCCAAACACTTTGTAAGGTGTGTAGGGCCGAGTCTAGGTGATGAAGACAAGAAATCAGGAGGTGGTCACGAGTGAGGCCCCTGAGTGGAGGTGGGAGTACTTTACAACAAGCCACACTAGGTCACGGAAGTGTCCCGAATTCCAACGAGCCTGAAGCAGGCAGAGGACTCCACAGAGACGGACTAAATACTGTTGGGAGGGGGAACTTTGATGATTGATAATAAACCCAACTGAAGGCCTCTTCCTGCACGTTTACTTCTTAAATACTGCACTCCAGCTCCTTCCAAAAGCATTTCAGTAGTGAGATCTCCTGGGCCTCCCGTGTCAAAAGAATGCTTCCTTGCAGCTCTTCATCTTTGTGTCTCCCCAGAGGAGAAGTGGGGAGCGTGCAGAGGAGAAGGCCACATGGAGGGGGAGAAGAGCTCCGTGGTTAAGAGCCTGGACTCTGGAGCCGGTCTAGATTCGAATCCCTGGTTAACCTTGACAGCTGTGTGACTTTGGGCAAGTTACTTAACCTCTCTGTGCCTGCTTCCTCATTAGGTTGTGATCAGGATTAAGATGATTAAATTCATATAAAGCACACAGAACAAGGCCTGGCACTCAATAAACTGTTCCCATATAAGAATAATAATTGTACCTTAAAATGCAGATTAATGAACTTTTCTCTAGGCATTTCCATGTGGCTGATTCTGTCCCTAGTCACCCTGAAGTAGCACCTGCCCGGGATGGGGGAATTAGGGGTGTAATTTGAGCTAGAGTTGGAGAGAGGAAGGCAGAGTGTTTCCTCTTAGACCTCGGAGTACGGAGGCTGGTGGTGAGGACCCTGGGTCCTGACGGCCCCCCTGAGACCTAAGCCTGGGAAGGGGCATGTTGAATCGGTTGAGAGAAGACATCAGGTTTCGGGGCTTTTGCTCCTCCTCCCATTGATGACTCTGAGGGACACTTGTCCAGGGCCCCACCAATTCACGCATTACTGAGGAGGAGAGGTGCCGACAAAGAGAGGGCAGGGACTAGCCCTCTGGTGTGGCCACAGGGCTCCAGAAGCCCAGCCTTGCCCAGGGGAGGGGGGGATGTACGGCTGAGGCCGAGAGCCTCCCATGTGCCCCTTCCATGTGGAGAACAGCCCAGACCCCGGCCCTAGGCGGGAATGGTGCACCCTGCGGGCCCCGCAGCTCCCAGGGAGCCGAGGAAGCATCCGAGGACAGGCCCACCAGCTGTGGACCCGGCAGCAGGCTCCAGCAGATGGTGGAGGGCCCAGGTGTGAGCCGCCGGGGCCTCACCCGGCCCCAGGACCAGCCTCGGGCCAGGAGGTCTGGCTGCCCCTGTGCCATGAGGTGGCCCGCAGTCTCTGCCACACAGCTGGCTGCTGCCTGAGTCAAGGAGGCGGGCGGGGAGGCGTTCTAAAAGACAGGGCATTTTAAGTCTAAGGCGCCCACTTATTCCAGGGAGACCATGCGGTTTAGCAGAGATGGGGACACCAAGCTTCAAAAGGTGTTTGCCCTGTGGCCGAGTAGTTAAGTTTGTGTGCTCTGCTTCAGGTGGCCCAGGGTTTCGCTGGTTCGAATCCTGGGCACAGACATGGCACGCCTCATCAAGCCACGCTGAGGTGGCATCCCACATGCCAAAACTAGAAGGACCCACAACTAAAAATGCACAACTATGTACTGGGGGGCTTTGGGGAGAAAAATGAAAAATAAAATCTTAAAAAAAATGTATACCAAAAAAAAAAAAGGTGTTTGTTTTTGGTGCCAAACGGGGATGGGGAGTCCTGAGGAAGTTCAGGTCGTTCTAGACTCTAAAGAAGCCACATGTTCTTTGGAGACCGCAGCCCAGTGTGAGGAAGCCCGTGCTTCTGCTACCTTTAGACACACTATCTGAGGAGAGAGTCACTTGTTGTCAAGCCCCAGACACCTGCCTCTGCGTATAAAGCAAGATTTCTGGAAGGCAGAGAGCCCAGTTGCATCGCAATCCCCAGGGGAACTTGAAAAAGCCCTGATGGCGGGGCCCCTCGCAGACATTACCGTGTAATTAGTCTCGGGTGTAGCCTGACTCTGGAATTTTTCTAAAGCCCCCAGGTGACTCCAGTGGGCAGCCAAGTTTGAGAGCCATTGTGTAAGAAACCATTTTCCACGTTGCTGGGCCTCTTTCGACACAGAAATAAAAGAGAGAGAAGCACCCGTTCTTACTGTAAGTACAACTTTCCTGACCCAAGGGGAGGAAAATGCCATCCAAGGAGCAGACCTGGCTGACTTGACATTTTTCTGGCACACTTAGCAGTCTCCATAGAAAGGCAGGTCTTCTAGGCGTCCGTCTGTCCAAGTGTCCGGAGCAGCACTGTCCAAGAGAACACAACCACCAAAGCAGGCCACACATGACACTTACAATTTCTAACTGCCACATTTAAAACGGGACTAGAAAGAGGTGAAGTGAAGTTTAATAATAAATTTTATTTAGCTCAATATATCCAAAATATTATTCTTTTGACATGTCATAATATAAAAAAAAATTTATATTTTTTGTACCAAGTTCTCAAAATCGTGTGGTTTATACTTACGGCACATCTCAATTCAGTCTAGGAACATTTCAAGTGCTCCGTAGCCACATGTGGCTAGTGGCTGCCATACTGGAGTGTTGGTGTAGACACCACAGCATTCACTAGTTAGATGCCCAATCGGAGGGCTATCTAAGGAGATGACATCTTAGCATAAAATTCATTTCCCTTTGGGAACATGTCGATGATCTCAGGGCCCTGAAAATGTAATGTTTGTTTCCTATATAACCCCAGGTAGCCCTGTCAGGTCACACAGTCTTGCCTTACTTGAGTAGTGCTTTGGGACCTAATAGAAACCGTGCTTATCTCTTTCCTTCAGAATCTGTTCTCCAGAGAAAGGAGAGAATGCGTTCATTCTGGGAGGTGAATGTAAAGCAATCCCAAGGAATTCTAAGACTTAGAAAGGTCAACATTCAGGCAGAGGAACTAGGACCTTTTCTTTTGCCCTGTAACCCACGGTACTAGGAGAGATGCGTGACGCTGGCAGCTGAAGCAGACCACTCTGTCTCCTTTCGCAACTCCTGGGACCCTCTCCACACTTCCAGATGTCCAGAAGCAATTGGTCAGATTTCATGGCCAAGATGAGTCCACATTAAGCCCTTTACAGGTGAAAGGTGTGCCCTCTGGAACAGAGGGTTGAACTTTTCCTCCCATTGGTCTTGTCATTGCAAGAGTTGAGTGTCGGCAGTGAGATGAAATGCATAGGGTAGGTCTTATAGCCTGCAGTTAAACATTTCAGTTACTTAAACCTTTCTAATGTGGGGAAGAGGATCTTTCCAGAAGTGTCAAACCAGCTAACTAGAGTTCTGCCTATCGGGGTTTGGGGAGATAATAAAATGTCTTGCCTCTTTCTCTCAGGAAATACTGTCCTTGGGGATGTGGAAGACAGAGGTGGATAGTCTGAGATTCTGGGATTCTTGTTCCCAAGCTCAGGGCTGATCCTCCTCCTCAAAAAAAAAAAAAAAATCAGACTTGATAAGCCAGGTTCTGGGCTCAGATGTGCTCTAACTCATTAGTTGCCCTTGGGTAAGTCCTATCAGTTTTTACAGGAAAAAAGAGTGGCCCTAAGCACTAATATGATTGTAGAGGAATAGGATTTTAACCCGACTTCTTTCCTCTGGGACCCTCACAGTTTCGGCCCAGTGGCCCCCTTATGGCTCTTCAGAGCATGGCTACAGTGCTCGGAGCTGTGGAGGGCACCTGCCTCAGCCCACAGCCTGACGCCCCAGCAGAAACAAGCCTTCCACACTGAGTCAGGGCTGCCCTATACACGCTTCTGCCCTTTCATACCAGGGTGCCCTGGGAAATGCCACCAGGCTTGCTTCTTCCCTCAGTCTCTGACATCTGCCAGACTTAAACACATCTGCAAATTGGGCAAAGTTTAGGAGTCAGGAGAACCTAATGAGGCCAAATGCTTGGGCTTTGGCATCAGACAACACTGGGCTTGAATCCCAACCTTGCTACTTACTGTGCTGCCACAGGAAGGTTTCTTTATCTCACTAGTCTCAGCTTTCTTATCATAAAATGGAAATAACTGCTGCATAGGATTGTTGTGAGGAGTAAAAGTAATCAGGTGTGGAAGACGCTTAGTGTAGTGCCTGGCTCATGTCAACACTATCATTTTCTTGTCCCTCTCACAATGTGGCCCCTGATCACCCCTCCAGTCTCATCTCTTTCCATGTTCCAGCAACACTGACCTACGGACTGTTCCCTGATTAGAAATGTCCTTTTTACTAATTCCAGGCCTTTGCACATGCTGTTCCCTTTACCAGGGACATTCTTTCCAGTGCCTTTACCAGGCGAATGCCTACTCATGCTTCAGATCTCAAGCAGGGGCAGGTCCAAGTTTTATGGGGCCTGAAACGTAGACAATTTGGTCTGGGAAGAGGCTTTAAAAAAAGGCATTAAAAAATATGAATTCAAAATTAGATACAAAGTGAAAGTGTATTCAGAATGAAAAGGAAATCACAACGAATTCCTGATGCCTTAGAGATTCAGGCCCCTTCCTTCTGTGATCTCTTCAGACAGTGTGGCAGAAGTGCTTAGTAGATATGCTTCCCAATTGCATCCTGACTTCTCCTTCCCATCAAGAACATGCTACAACTTCAGCGTTCACTGTGGGGCTTGAAGCTTAAGCTTTATAAACTTCAGGGTAAATGCACCACAGGCCTCGGATTAATTGCCACTTTCTCTGTGAATCTTCTCTCAACCTCCAAGACCAGATCTGGGCTCCTTATCTCTGTCGCTAGGGCCTCCTGGGTATACTCCCATCATAGCTCTTGCCTCCGTGCACTGAAATCATCAGGTTGGGTAACTGTCTCTTCAAATAGCCTATGAGTTCTGGAAACCAGGGCTAGTTTCTTGCTCACCAGTCTACCCTCAGTGCCTAGTCCAGCACCTGGCACATGGGGGCGCTCTTTAAACATCTGTTGAACTAATGAATGACTATCTGGTTTTCCCCTTCTAACCTCTGGGATCCTTAATTCTTCAGAGCTGAGAAGAATTCTCCTCCCTGCTCCTTCCGGATGTCCACAGCTCCACAATTTCAATCTTGTGACATTAAGACAACCACACTAGTAGGCATTCTCATGGGAGAACTGGGTGTAATCGACACTATTTAGTTCAATATATGGCTTCTTTCAGAGAGCTTCTTAACCAGGGACGTATAAGGCACGAGGAGATGAGGTAAGTACGGAATTCTGGGGGGGAGAAGAGGGGATAGGGAGCTTTCACATTCGCCCCCAATTCATCAGCTTAGCTGGGACTTTGTTTTCAAAAATGTGAATGAAAGATACCACAGGTTGCTCAGCAAATGGCTATTTCCCCCACTCATTGTTGCCTGCAGAACCCTATTTTTGTGGGTATTCTTCCTCTCATAAGCTAAGGGATAGTGGCCCCTTTGCTAGCCCCAAGGGGTGAATGCTGTGTAGTCAAAGGAAACTGTAGCAATTCCATTCTCCTTGCCAGCGACAGCTTTAGAGGTGCGGATGTGACTGAGCCTCAGCCAATGAGAAGTCTGGGAAATTCTGCTGCAGGTGGAGGGGGGCTTCTTGGACAGAGTTTCCTCCTGAAATAAGAGGGATACCCAAAGGAAAATCCTCTTTCTAATTTTGGATTCACTTGTGTAAATGTGATGCTTGAAGCTCAGGTTGCCGTCTTGCAGTCATAAGGAGACAAGTATGAAGGTGAAGCAACAGGCTGGAAAGCCTCTAGGGCCTCAGGCTGTTCGGCCCACTGGAATCTAGAATCACCTCTCTCCAAACTTCTTGTTAGATCAGATAACAAAATCCTGTTGTTTAAGCCGTTTTTATTTTTTAAAGATTGGCACCTGAGCTAACATCTGTTGCTAATCTTCTTTTTTTTTTTCCCTTCTTCTTCTCCTCTCCAAAGCCCCCCAGTACATAGTTTATATTCTAGTTGTAGGTCCTTCTGGTTCTGCTATGTGGGATGCCACCTCAGCATGGCCTGATGAGCGGTGCTAGGTCTGCGCCCAGGATCCCAACCGGTGAAACCCTGGGCCTCTGAAGCAGAGCATGCGAACTTAAACACTCGGCCATGGGACGGCCCCCGTTTAAGCCATTTTTAATCAGCCGTTCTACAAATTGTAGCTGAAAGCCCCTTGATATAATTTCTAATAAGGCCAAGGAGGCGAATTAGAAGGTGAATTGAAGAAGGCATAGAAATCACTTTATTATTTTGACGGTTATTAAGCTAAAAATATACATTTATTAGTCCTTTGAAATTGTAAAAGCATTTCACCTTGGTGACATACTTCGTGTGAAGGGAGATAATTTACTTTTTGAGGGTAAAACATTTACATTACATTTTCAAAATAAAAGTATTTCCTTATCTCTTGAATTGAGCTGGAAATGACAAAAGCCAAGGGATTGGCATGTGAACAGCCCTCATTTGAAAAGGAAAAGAGTATACTCTAAGTATCCATGAGAAAATATTCCAGCCAAGAAAAAGCCTTCAAACATAGTAGTTCCCAACATTTCCAATTACGGAGGAGGTGTTTTAAGGTCACCTCTCACATGATAGTGGTTAAATTTTTTTTTAATGATTTTATTTTTTCCTTTTTCTTCCCAAAACCCCCCCCCCCCCCGGTATATAGTTGTATATTCTTCGTTGTGGGTCCTTCTAGTTGTGGCATGTGGGACACCACCTCAGCGTGGTTTGATGAGCAGTGCCATGTCCGCACCCAGGATTCGAACCAACGAAACACTGGGCCGCCTGCAGTGGAGTGAGCGAACTTAGCCACTCGGCCACAGGGCCAGCCCTGATAGTGGTTAAATTTTTAACACCTGTTCATGGTAGGGGCTGGGAGCATAATGACAACTTTAAATACAGCAACACTTTTAATCAGTCCTGTTCTATCACTCACAACGGCATCCTCATTGGTTTGAAAAATAATTGTCTAAGTGTGTGCCAGACATCTCTAGTTAGTGTACAAACATCTCTAGTTAGTGGAAAGCAGTGCAATGCCACTCTACTTCGTGGAGGTCTGCAGCCCTACAGCTGGGCACCACTGTTCTAGAAAATCCTGCCACTCTGCTTAAGAAACTCACCATGTTAGGAGAAGGTGACACCAGGGAGCCAGTCTCCTCTCCACCGGGGCGGTGATGGGGATGGTCTTGCAGCACCACTCCAAAATAGAATTTCTAAATCCTGTTTTGTTTCTTGAGTGCTATCGCTCCTGAAAACCTGACTCATTAACTGTAGAGTTCAGGTAATTAAAATAGGAAGCCGACTGATAAGAAATTAAACCAGTACGCATAATGCAGATGTCTGAGGAGGCTGAGAGTCCCAGGGCTCTAGGAAGCAGGCTAATCAGGCTTCAATCAGGAACTCATCATTCAGAGAGAGAGAATTAATTCAGGATGGGAGGCAGGGAGGGAGCAGAAGCACAGGCAGAATCTCAAAATCTATCTGGATGAGTCTCTCCTTGGGAGGAGGCAAAGCCTGAAACCCCCTCACAGGGAGGTGTATGCTGCAGCAGAGTCTGGATGGGAAGTTTTCTGATAACCTGCTGCAAAGAGATGCTTCCGCATACTGCTCTATACTCCTCAGCGACCCTCTGGGTTCTAAAGCCTGCTTAAACCAACACTGTTTTAGACTTCCTTGGTCTAATAATTTCCAGAGAAACAACCATGCAGAGAAGGTGACGAGGAAGAGTGAGGCACTCCTTGGGGCAGGCTCCTGCAACAGACACACCTTCTTAGCAGGTCAGGGGCCCAGTCTGATAGGGTTTGTTGTGTGCTGGGAAAGAAGGGATTGGGCATGTGTCTGAATTCCCAGCTCTGTACCAACCTCTGCTGCTATGAAGTGCCTTTTGCAGAAAAAGAGAAAAGGCTCAAAACATTACCCTTTTAATTACAGCATATAGTTGACATTTCTGAGTTGTTTCCTATTTGGAAAGATGTTCATGGAGAATATAGTCTCCTGGAAGGGGGGCACCCCAAGAAATATGGCCATAGAGGGATAATATATGCTCCCCTCACTCCCTTCCTAATCTTTACAGACTTGGGCCTAAACAATGTAAAACAGAACTATCAGAGTGGGGCGGGGGAGGGGAGTGAACTACAGGCTCACATATTAAGCAGCAGACACTTGATGCCTAAAGTGGGTATCCATAAAAAAGAATTACCTGCAGTTCTCCAGTAAACATTCCAAATTTAGCTTGAAGCTATTAGTCAGTATGAATAACATGCATATGTTTTCTTCAAATAGCTTTTCAAAGTCTGCTGTAGTTGTCCCAGCGTTCATGGGGAAGTTAAAACTTTTAACTAAAGAGAACCCTATAGAAGAGAGCTGAGTAGAATCACATTGTTGAGGAAGCTTTGTGAAAACAAATGAAGTGACTGGCACAATTTTTAAATGGAATATGGACTCTCGACTAGATCCATGTTAAATTTCCCGGCTTTGATCATTGTACTGTGACTATGTAAGAGGATGCCTTTGTTCTTAGGAAATACACACCGAAGTATTTAGGAATAAAGGGACAAAAGCGAGAAAGTGAGAATGAGAAAGCAAATACGGCAAAATGTTAGTGGGTGAACATGGGTGAAGGATAGAGAGGAATTCCTTTCCCTATTCTTGAGGCTCTTCTATTAGCTTGAAATTATATCAAAATAATACATTTACAAACATCAAATGAAGTAATTTTAGATTGGCCTACTTAAACACTATACTTGTTGACATTAAGTTTTCTCAAGGGGTTGATTTAACACCAAGAGATCTCTTTCAAAAGACTTATCTTATAGCTAAGTCTTTCCAAATTGCGAGGCCACCTTCAGAAGAAAAGGAATTATTGAAACAATCCATGTCTATATCATGCTCTGAAACAACTCCTTTAATAACTGATATTTTTTCCAACCATGGATTGTCATTTACATTTGATTATTAGATTATGTTGATATTGAATCACCCCTTCAGTATTTTATATTTCTGAATCAGTATACCATTTATGTTTGTCTAGATTTATATTGCCTCTCTTTTTTTGATTTGCACACAGCCATCAACAGACAGCTGAGCAGAATCTTAGAATCCAGCAGAGCAGCTTTAACAAGCGGAGTAAATGCTTACAAGACAATCAAAGGAGCTTCCATGGACTGTTGGTGTCTTGCAAAGCAGAATCCTAGTACTCTCAAATTTCTTATCCTACAGAAGGAATTTCCAGGTGAGGTTACAAAACAATAATTAATCATCAAAATCATATTCAAATTTCTGGGTTTATTTTTTTTTTGAGGAATATTAGCCCTGAGCTAACATCTGCCACCAATCCTCCTCTTTTTTGCAGAGGAAGACTGGCCCTGAGCTAACATCTGTGCCCATCTTCCTCTACTTTATATGTGAGATGCCTGCCACAGCATGGCTTGACAAGCAGTGCGTAGGTCTGCACCTGGGATGTGAACCAGTGAACCCCGGGCCGCCAAAGTGGAATGTGAGAACTTAACCACTGCGCCACCAGGCCGGCCCCAACAAATTTCTGTTTTTAAAATAGTCCCTGAAATCAAAAAGCCATGAAAAGACTGCATAAGGAATGAAACACGAGGAGAAATTGAAAAGTTAATTTATTATATGAATAAACATAAACAATATTTGAGTCAATGGCTGCAGAGAAGCAGCCTGCAAAAGCTCACATCCACAATTTATTGGCTAGGAAGTACTGACACGTACACTCATAACCACAGCACTAATGTTCTAAGGTGGTTTCCAAGGAAATGCTGCATTTGACAATCAGTTTTAATGTTTATTTTCCCATTTACAAGGCTGAAAAGATTAAACCCACATTCAATTAAAGTCTAGCAGGATCAGGCATTCAAGTTGTAAAGCACAATTATCAAAAGATGCTGCTATGTCCTTTAGGAAAGATGACAGATACAAAAATGATAAACTCACTTGCCATCAAAAGCAATTTCTCAGATTTCAGTGGGTCTTTTTCCTCCAAGTACCATGTGTTTGGGTGCTAATTTTTGTCAGCAACTGATGGTAAGAGAAAGGGCGACTGCTGGGTTCGCTCCAAGAGCAAAGACCATTTACACTTGCCCTTCCATAAGGCCAAAGGCCAACGTTATTCACTCAAGACACTCATGTGGGTGATGCTACTTGTTTCTTTTCTAACAGTAAAAAAATAATAATAATCTGTTTATGATTTGAATAACTAGAATAACAACTCCTTAAATATGCATGGCACTTTAAAAATATTTTCAAAGCATTTTCACATCTATTATTTAATTTGATCTTTCTGACAACCTCGTGAGGTAGGCTGGGCAAGGATATCATCCAAATGTGGTGGGTGAGTAAACTGAGGCATAGAACAATGAAACAACTTGCAGGGCTGGACAGGGAGATGCCAATCTCTACACTGTGCCATCTCCAGTAATGAAGAGAGAAAGTCTAAACATGTTTGATGATCTTATTTCAATATATTTTGAGGATATACTTCACCTCCTTCCAGCCAAATGATAGTAATTCACTTGGAGCAGCTGTCATGACAAGTTATGGCATGTAATTAATTAGACAAAGCACTGAAAGTTTTACAAATTCGAATTATAACTGAAAAACATTTTAACTCTCAACACGAGAGGGAATTTGCTGGTTTGTTTGTCTTTAGGGCAACCTAGGTCTGCAGTCTGAATGATAATTTTGCCATTTTAGAGGTATAATATAAATAACTTCAAAACAAAAACTCTCAGTTCACTGTGACTTCAATGTTCACCATGTGGAAAAAACAAGCAGTGGTTTCTCTACCACAAAGTCAAGGGACATACATGGCCCCAAAGCAGGGGCATCTGTATATCAAGGGTTAAAGATGACAAAATGTCCAATTTAGTTACCAAACCTCTTTGTCCTTATAAATGTGGCTTATAATTGGGCTTTGGGAGTCTGACAGAGCATCACTGTTAGTTTGGTTTTGGGTCACTCAAGCTGCTTACCTATCTTCTACATTAAAATTACTTAAAATGTATTTGAAGGCTCAGATTTTGTAATGGGTCTTGAGACAGGCTTCCAAACCAAGGCGGGGAAGTAAATACCGGTCTCTCTATCCCTGTCTGACTACAACTCCTGCTCAAATTCACCATTTTTAACCTATCCCCTCACAGACTGGCTGTTAGAAACTGGACGGGTCAGAAAATTCAGCCATTATAGGTCCTTAGACTGTCAATGCTGATTGACTTGCAATGTCCAGCCTAGTCATTGACAGCTCACCTGTTTCCAGGTAGCTCATTAACAGGGTTTTTATGGCAGAAATAATGGCATTAGATCCAGGCACTTTCCCAAGACAACTGAGGATATGCTACAAAACCCTTTTATGAAACAAATAGGGTTCTGGGTTAAAGGAGAAATTATATTGAAGACAGAGAGTGTAGGAGGATAAAATTGGGGATCTTGTTCAAATCAAAATGCACTCAAGTTAAAGACAAAAATCTGGTCATTTCACCTTTTTCTATAATTGAAAGTTTCTGAAATCAATATCTAGCTGGGGGTGGGGGTGACTCTTTTCCTTTAAATGAAAGTAATGAAAATTAAAATGCCCTATAAACCTGCGCTAAGTGATAGATTTCTGTGGAGTTTTCTAGAAAAACAAGTTAACCAAGGTAACTCTTGTCTAAAACTTTCTTGACAAGCAAGGAGGAGGGGGAGTGAATACTATGAGTTTTATTTTCCTCTTTCTTAGGAAGGCAAATCCTAGCAAATTCTAGAAATTTCCCAGAATTGTAGGACAGGACTGAACCTTGAAGAGGTTTAAGCCTACCTTCTAGCAGATTCAGATCTTCAACCATCCTGAGAAGAATTCTGCTTACAAAAGTCTATATAATTTTAATGTTTTAACAACCTTCTTGATGCAGAATTTCTTCAACATATTGAAGGAACACAACTTTCCTAAAATGCTAGGGCTTCCACAACCAAATTTAGAATTCAGTTTTACATCCATGGGTCCTGGGGAATAGTCCCAAATCTAGACTTTTGAACCAATTAGAGATAGCAGGCCAAGGTGGCTACAGTTGGTTATGTACAAAGAGCCCTAATGAGATGAAAATGGAATATCTCTGTATTTAAAAACCAAACATGAACAGCCCTCTCGGAAAACTCTGACAGGAATGATGTTGCTGATGGTGAAACCCCAGGAACCTTCTTTGGTGATCAGGACAGTTCTTGGGTGAAACTATGCTCAGGGATAATAAAACATTAGGCTACCCAGACCAGCAATCCAGAAAACTAGAAAAGAAGAAAACCACTGTCCTCATTTTACCTGATGGATGTAACCAGCCCAACTCAGATATCATCGATACTTTTTCAGTGAAAAGGCCAGTAACACCCGGGAGAACATGGTCAACTGTGCATGGTGGTGCCTTAGGCTGCCCCTTCAACACTCAGGGGTTTCCCTGGCTTCTCCCCATAGTTCCCATATGCCCAAAAGCTCTCTAAAGGGGAGCAACTCACAAAGAGTTGAGAGCTAACTTCCTGCTCTGTTAACTGCGCAGGGCTCATCACTTGTGTGAGGAACAGGGATCAACCCAGAATACATATATCTGTGCCCCAAGAGACTCAGGTCCTATTAAATAGAGCAGAACTCATTGGGATTCAAGATCTCGCTGGGCATAGAACTTATTTTACTGCTAGAAGGTGTCTCATCTATGTCCGCAGGTGACCTAAGATCTGCCTTTCCTACAGACTCACAGGATTTCTGCCGCCTGCAGTCACAGCAAACACACCTTAGCCACTCCTGAAGGCCTTCAGAAACACTGGTGGAAAAGAGCTTTTTGCAAGGATGGAAGAACTGATAGAACACGAGCATGAACAGAATGGCTGTGCAGTACCCAATGAGCAACTGCAGAATCAACAGAGGTGCACACACATACATATAGATGTCGGTCTTGTAAAGATACCACATGAGGAGGAGGAAGGCGTTCTCAACGAATCTCAGCATGTAGTACACCAGTAGCTGGTACCAGTTCTGGGACTTGCTGATGAGGTCAGGGTTGTTGATTTTCAGCTGCACAGCTGACCAGCAGAACATGTTGATACCAGCATAGAGGAAGGTGAGGAAGCACAGCACGATGGTGGTGCCCACGCGACTGAGGGCCTTCTCGATGTTCTCAGGGAACGGGGAGCCACTACACCAGAAGAGGATCCAGGGATAGAAGAAGAAGCTGAGGAAGTTGATGAGTATGATCATCACCACCCAGGCCTTCAGGACGGAAGTAAAGAGGACCAGGACCACAACTCGAGTGGCAATCTCAAAGCTCCTCCAGAGGAAGATACAAACATAGGCCAGAGGCTTGACTTTTACAAGGTATTCATCGTACTTGATCTTGATGGCTAGGATGTTGCAGCGCAAGGCTCCATACACAATGGATAACAGAGACAGGACCATAAAGAAACCTGGGGAGAGAAGAGAATGAGCACCGTCAAGTCTCACCTCCACCAAGAATCCTACTGTGGCAGACACTCTGTCAGTCCACTGCCCATATTCCTTCGATCCTTCTGTTTTATGTACACAGGCTGACTTCCAGCTCCCAGTATCTGCTCACTGTGCCTGAGGGCTTTTTCCAGGGTTGCAGAAGGCTGCTCTGCCCAGGTACCTGGCAGGCCCGGGAGAGCCGTCAATACCCCAATTCTAGCCCTGATAAGAGCTGGAATATAACTACCCTAGCTCCCCCACCCCTTGGGTAGAATAATTCTGAGGCATGTGTTCTATAATATTTACCAGTATTTCCTCATACGATTACTTTCTACTCACCCACGGTCTAATAAAGCTCCCATTATTGGCTGCCTCCCCTTCCCTGTCTCATTTCCCTTCTCCCGTCTTCCTTACACCTTCCTCCAAACATACATGCACTCAAATCCCCGTCTCAGGATCTGTTTCAGGGTCAACTCAAACTAAAACACCTTCCTGACCCCATCATGGTCTGTCTGAATATGTCTAGTCCTTTACGTGGTATGTTTTTCTAGCTTATAAGCTCCTGAGGAGTCAAGAGCAGCCATGTTTGATAATTCTTCTCGACGCCCCTCAACATACGCCAGTAGTAGGTACACCAACAGAAGACACTCAATAATAAATTGCTCAGTGAGTTCCTCTCTATCTACAGGACCTTTTAAATCGATATGCTGACTACGGAATGCTCACTTTTCTTTACTCTTCAGTTATATTCTTAAATTCCACAGAGAGCTGAAGAAATGAGAATCTCACTGTGAGTGAGAGGCAATCTGTCTTGGACTGAAAGGCCTTAGTGTTTCAAGAAGTCTCAACTCTAGCTGTTTATTTCTTAAAATGACTTATGGCTAATGGGTTTATCCAGTTTATAAGCAGGAGAAGTTTGGGGGGACAAGA